ACCAAAGTGTAATACATACGCACATTTAATGAAAAATCTGCCTTTCTAGAGAATGCCCATGCTAGTGATCTGACTGACCTGGGTGATACTTTGCTTAGGTGTGATATAGATACACATATCACAATGTACAAATTGTTCTGTGCCCTAACAACTTTTTGGAAAAGTTAATAAAAATTAACATGTGTTGTGACTCTTGGCCAGTATTATGAGTTGTTTAGATGACCATATTTAGCAAAGACTCATAGTAAGCTCTGGTAGTTTACTCAGGAAATCTGATTCCTGTTTCTAATGCTTTACAACTTGAATGGAAATAATGGTTTTGAAAAGGTGGTTCCTTTAAAATGAACACATATACCACTTTTTGTAAAATTGCAGTACTATCACTCTATAATTTTTGGAGATCTTCTTGGCAGTCTGGTTCTTGTACCAACCCCTAAGCGAGATAGTCCTCCTAATGACACTAGGATAAATTGAGAGCAAAGTTTGAGCCATGACTGTAAGTGAGAGATATGATTAAATTCTGGTTTACTGCGTACCTCTGACTTACTCTTTGTTGCTCTGGAATGTAGACTGTTCCAGATTAGGCTCAGAGGACTGCAAGAGTCATTTGGGTAACGAGATCAGGAAAACAGAGAAAAACGATATTCTCTGTTTGTCATTGGAGGTATTATGCCAGCTGCCATGCATAATCTATTAAAATGGAACAGATGCTACTAAAAGGCTTCCTTCACTGCACCTTTTACATGCAATTGTTGTAAAACCCTGAAGGGATTTTATGTTGCTTGTTCACTCAAACATTTTTTATTTTTCTTTGAGCATTACAATTTAAATTAGTTTAAGCGTGTGCTTCAGACTCTAGTCTGGCTAAGCTATTTCTGGTCAAGGAATGTTGAATATGAATCCTGAATAAACGCAGGTAACAGGAAATTAAAAGAAACTAGTCATCACTCAGAAAAACAGGAAGCTGGAGTGAGATGAATAGTGTCCTGTTACGTTTTACATGTGAAATTTTTTTGAGGTTTAAATTACAAGAAATAGTAGTAACAACTATTAAAGCAACACATTAGCATTGATTTCTTTTTTGTTGTATATTCAGGGAAACTTTATGGTGATGAAATGTTTGTAGAGGAGCGACATAGGCATCGATACGAGGTAAGCACTGCTACTGTACTCTGTGCTCAAAAGTTAAAACTTAAGCAAATTGTGTTTCTGTTGGTAGGCACGATTCTCCTTAAAGCCAATGGGACATTTCTTACATAAACATAACCCAAAATTTAGTAATGGTTAGACAGTATAATTTAGATCAAAAGGAACCTCTGTAAGTCTTCTGGTCCAACTCCCTGTTCGGAGCTGAGCCAACTTCAAAATTAGATCAGGCTGCTCAGGATTTTGTCCCATCTAGTTTTGAATCTCTCTGAAGAGAGAGATTCCACAACATCTTTTGACAATCTGTTCCAATGCTTAACCACTTCATTGTGAACCCTTTTTTATCTTATATCTAATAGGAGATTTCCTTGGGCAGTTTGTCTTTTATCTCTCAGTCTTGTGCTGTGCATCTCTGAGCAGAGTCTGCATTAGTCTTTGTTATACTGTCCTGTTAGATATTTGAAGTCAGCAATGAGATCCACTCTTTGCCTTCTCTTCTCCAGGCTGAACAAATCCAGCACATCTAGTCTCTCCTGTGTTGCATGTGGTCCAGCCCCCTAACCATCCTGGTTGCACCTCCTATGGTCTCGCAACATTTTGTCAATCTCTTTCTTGTACTGAGGGGCCTGAAACTAGACACAGTATCGCAGAGGTGTTCTTGCAAGTGTTCAATAGAGGGGAATAATGTAGTGTACTGTTTCTGTGGTAGAGAAGGTGCAGTGTCTTAGCAAAATGGTCTTGGAGAGTGATGTCATAGATTACCTGACTTGACTCCCTGTGAAGAATTTGAAAGGTAAAAGCTTATAATCCTTAAACGCATTGCTCCTTGGCCATTTGGCTTATTTAAAGGCTTAGATTATGTTCAGGTAGTGCACATTCTTTTGTAGTCTAAATGTAGGCAGACTTAAGGCATCTACAACTATAGGAGGCTAATTTAGATCACTTGCTCCTACTATCCAACTCTGTAGGCCCCTTGTATAGGTCCACTCCTGTCTTTGAGAACATCTGAGCCAAGATGTCTGTGTACATTCAAAATACTGTCATTCAAGGAGACGGGCAAGAGCTGGACTCCTAGAGTTATCTCTGAGATAGTTCAGAAGGGACCTGACTCCATCCGTATGTCCAGAGGGGCCTGAGCTATGAGATGTGTGCATGCTACAAACTGATTCAGACAATGTTAAGTTTCCTTAAAAAGCTGGGAGGAGATGTGATGATGGTAAAGGTGCTCAGAGTTTTAATATTACCTGAATGGTTAGAACATCACCAAGGAAATGAAACAGCTCACTGCAGAGCTCCTCAGTTTAAAGGAGGAGCTGAACCACAGCTTGTGTCATAACCACTGAAATGTAGTGTTCAAAGAAGAGGTCAGCCTTTATGCCTATTGTAGTGGGCCATTTAAAAACCGAGGAATGCAAGCTGCTCAGAATCAGGACAGTAAGCAGAAGGGACCCTGGCTTCAATCTTTTGCATGTTACGTAGTAAGTTTTAAAATTACTGATTCATCTCCTATTAAATAAGCATGCCCATTTTTACAAATTTGTACCAGAGAGTTGTTAAAACAAGAAAGCAAAAGTTCCCAACTCTTTTCTCAATTCTTTTCATTCTTGTATGCATACTAAGAACATTACGATTAACTACTACTGTTTGTTAAATCCAAAAAGAAATAGAACTACAATTATTATTACTTTCAATATTTCAGGTGAATCCAGAATTGACTCACTGCTTTGAAGAGAAAGGTTTGAAATTTGTTGGCCATGATACGGAAGGGAACAGAATGGAAATGATTGAACTGGAAAGTGAGTGTCTTACTTGTCTGTAGTACTTTCTGCATCTATTAAAACCATGTAAACTATAGATTGTTAAATGGCGTATAGGCAGAATATTTAGCTGTTGTAGCAGCCAAGATCACGTTGGGGGATACTGCTGACTCCACTTGTATATCACAATGGGTGAAGATTCAGAGGATGTTAGGAGAAGTCTTACACTCCTCAAGGATTGTGCGTGTGTTTGATTATCAGGGAGAGATGTGCTCCTTTTCCAAAAGGTCATAATTCTAGCTCAGTGGGATTTGGCTATGTAGAATCAAAGAGTGATTTGGGAGGTCATCTATCCAACGGTCTGCTCCAACACAGGACTACCTTCAAATATAGATCAGGTTGTTGAAAGCTGTATCAGTCAAGTTTTGAGTATCTCCAAGTATGCTATTCATTGGACTTCAAACCACTCACCACTACTCTTTGAACCCAGCAGTCCCGCAATTTTTTAACACACTTTATAGTCTGTTCATAGTCCATAGGTCCCAACTTGGATGCTAGGAAACCATATCAAAAGCCTTGCTAAAGTCAGGATAAAGGAAGGCTACTGCTCTCCCTGCTTCCAAAGACTGATTGTTTCCAAGCTTGTTGTGCCCAATTGTCTTCCTGTCCTTCATGTGTCTGGAAATGCCTTGGAGGAGGATTTGTTTCATAATCTTGCCATAAACTGAGGTTAGGCTGACCATCCTGTAGTTCCTTGGATCCTTCTTTTTGTCCTTCTTGAAGAAGGGCATGGTGACTACCTTTTTCCAGTCATCAGGGACCTCTCATGATCACCTTGGCCTTTTAGAGATAAAAACCAGCTTCACAATGACATTGGTCTGCTCCCTGAGCACCATCAAATATTCTTAGTCAGGTCCCAATAACTAGTATAGGTCCAGTTTGCTTGAGTATATGAAATATGTATGCATGCAATATAGCCAAAGTATAAAACGTCACTGGAACGTATTACTTAGAGGGGCTGTGAAATCTCCATCCTTGCAGACAGAGACCTTCAAAACGTGACTAGACAAAGCTAGCAGCAACCTGATTTAACTTTGAACTTGACCCTGCTTTGAGCAGGAGGTGGGACTAGAGACCTCCCAAGGTGCCTTCCAATCAGTCTGTGTCTCCTTCAGTTACCCTCAGTTTAGAATCACAAAAAAAAGTATGAAAATCAAATAGAAAGCAAGCTCCTTTCTTTCACAGAAGTGATTCAGATAGATGAGGGTTTGATACTGTGGAAATCTGGTAGATTTGGACTGCTTTACCAAGTAAGACTTGATGCCTTTTCTAAAAGGTTCTGAAATAAAAAGGAGCTACACTACATATATTTGTTGAACACTACACAGAATAGCTCTTAGAAACAATCCCTTTGATTTTGCTTGATTCTTTGATTAACTCCTTGCTGTTAAATTGCTGCTGGCTAGATGTGTATCAGGCACCTGAAGATGCAGGCTACCTTACAAGATTTTTTTTTTTTCTTTTCTTACGTGGCCCCTAATTGCCATTGGTTAAGATAAATTCCATGCACAGAAACATAAAATTATCATAAGAATACATTATCATCCTATGGAGTGATATTTGTGACATGATGCTGCTGAGAATTCATTTTATATACTCCATGGTATGTTGAAGAACAGTGCTGTAATTTTGAACCAGGGTTTGAATATAGACAGTTACTTATAATGTCAAGCAACTGCACCATAGAGAGTAATCTGAGAGCAAAGGATACATGTGAATTCATAAACTACTAATTGTCATGGTGTTCTTTTCTTAGTTTGTTCCTGATAGATTACCTCTGTTACACATGCTGGTGTTGGGAGGCTATTTTCTCTGCCCTGCATGAAACAACTTCTATAAAGAGCATCGTGAAATAAATCAGGCAGAATTTTTAAATTGTATGTTGCTGTGAAAAGAATAAAAGCAGCAGTAAAACCTGGCATTATTTCACAATGGGCTGCAGGGAGACTCTGATTACTAAAGAAAAACAGTCATCATAGGGAGGAGGGTGGGTTGGAGCGGAAGCACAGAAATAACAGTACACCAGATAGCTTAGGCAAAGCTTTTAGGCAAAATATCCCCGCAGGAAATATTTGATGCTTTGTCATTGTCTTGCTTTACAGCTTTAAGGAACTAAATTGCATGGTAGATAGAAAGAAGATATGGGATAAATTTAGGATCCAGGTTCTCTTTAAGACATAGCAGCAGAGAGAAGAGCAGTATACTAGATCATATAGTTTATCTTTACATTCATAGAAGAAAAACACAGCTTTCTTGTTATCAGTTATTCTGTACTGCAGAGAAATTCCTTGAATGCTTGGGATTATTTTGGAGATTGTCAAACTGGAAGAGTTCAGTGGTTGATTTTGTTCAGTGTCCTGGCACTAGAAGTGGTTAATGTTAGCTCCTTTGAAACAATATTCAAAGAAGGAACAAGTGCACGGCATGAAGGAGTACAAAAACATTTTTCCTTCCTTATCCTTTTGAAGAAGACAGAAGGGAAGCAGAAGCAGTAATAAAGAGGTGCTTTGATTGGGAAACAGAGCGCTGAAGATTTAAGAGAAGATGAAGCAGCATGGCTTGTTTAGCTTAGCAGGCGGAGTTGAATGATGGTGATATTGCCATCCTTAATCACACAGGCCAAACAGCAGGAAAGAAGAGCATGATAAGAAACGTATATAGGTTGGCTCTAACAAAGATGGCCTATGAATTAAGAAAAGGTTTCTAAGCAAAAGGAAAGAGTATCAGAAGGGCTTTCTAGTGGGAGCAAAAAAAACCTAGGGAGTGTTACGGCAGAGCCTTGGCCCTTTGTGCATGAGACCACATGATGTAGCTGCATCCAATAACAGGAGACTGGACTTAATGTCCCAGGAGATCCCTTCCAGGCCTAATAATTTGAAGCTTGTTTTCCCCAGTTTTCTCTGTATGTTGTTTTCATATCCATCTCTTAGTATGTAAATAGTTGCTGTATGGTAATGCTTGGTCTTTTAGGAACTGTTTTATTTTTCCCTCAGATATCTATAGGTGCATGTTCTGAATATACATGTATAAATATATATTGGAAACCAAAATACTATGAAAATAACATGATAAATGTAGACTTTGTGGTTGTTCCCCTCCCCCTGCCCTTACATGTCAGTACAGGTTTGTTAACCAGCTTTTAATTACATCATTGTGCACGTTAAGGTTGAATCACAGGATGATTTTTTCCTTAATTTGCCTTGCTAACCTTCTGCCTCTGTTGTCAGTTGCTTTTCATGGAAAAAGTTAAGGTTCCTGCTGCCTCGCCCTTAAATTCACGCATGCTGATCTGGCTTCTGTGTGAAATCTTCAATAAACTTTTCTGTAACAGTTGTTCTGCTATCTTCTTCCAACATCTTATAATTTTCTTTGACATCTGTCTTGTAGATCACCCATATTTTGTGGGAGTTCAGTTCCACCCAGAGTTTTCCTCGAGACCTATGAAACCTTCACCTCCGTACCTTGGACTGTTGCTAGCAGCAACTGGGACACTCAATGCATACCTGCAACGTGGATGTAAATTGTCTCCAAGGTAATGTTTCTTACTTACTTGCCTGTGGTTTGCCAGTCATGTTTTTGGAGGGACTATCCTGTCCTTCAATTCAGAAGTACAGAAGAGGAAAAGGAGTTCTTCATGTATTGATTTACTTGTTCCTGTGCATGCCTGACATAAATGCTGATGTAAAAGTGTCTGTAAGCAGTAAGCACAGTTCCTGACTTTCACCTTTTCAGAGGCTATTAGGGCTAAAGCCAGATCCATACACTATAACCAGAAAGAAGTAAAAAACCTTTAGTAAATTCACGTGAAGTTAATGGCCTCCTGTGTTAACTTTCAGAAA